TGTTATCCTTGTTTTCATAGTTTCAGTTTATTATGTGTTGTATAAAATATGAGTTTTATGCATTTTAAGACCAGGTTCTTATTTTTTTGGAAAGTTAGATTAATAATCGATTAAAGGCAAAGCATATACGAATTACGAGTATCTAACCTATATTTTTGTCTTTTTTTAAAAAAAAGAAATTGAGTTAAAAAAACTTTAAGAATTCTTTAATTTTCTTTGCTTCTGATTTTATAAAACCTAGAAGTTAAAAATAAATAAGACCTTGACATATATTTAATTAAAGAGGATTTGGAAGCTTCTCCTGAAAGTGGAAGACACAGAAAAATGCTCGAACTGCCCTTGCATAAATCAGACCGTGATCATCGTCCAAACTTTTATCTTAAGAATAATGATCAATATGTGCCTTGCCATAATTACGTGCTTATTTAATTATGGCAATGCCGTGTGCTTTGTCATAATTAACCGAACAAATAAGCCCTAAAGCAATTAGTAAGGGATATTTTAGAAGGTAAAAAACATTCGGAATTATTAAACATTCTAACCAGCGGTTATCTTAGATCATTAAAAGCAACAATTTAATGTTGTGGTAGTTTGACATTAAAAGCAACACCTAATTCTCTCTGGAATTCTGAGTAAAAAGTAATGCAGTTAAAAAATATGCAGCACTGATTCTCTTTTAAAAGGCAGACTTCGAAAACAGATTTCAAGATTTTAGAAAAACCATTTACATTCCAGCATATTTACTACTCCGGTCTCAGTTAATTTAAATCTTATTGGTTAATCTGGAAATGAATATATGCAAAGTAGCAGTGAGATACTCAGTGAATATATGTAAAGTTGAAGTTTTTAACGTACAAAAAATTTATTTAAGTGGAATTCTTATGTTATACCTTTCTAAAATTTTTCTAAAGCTTCACGAGCTATTCCTGTTCATGACGTTTCCTTCTGAGAACACGTATATTTGACAGCAAGTTTTTCCCGTGTGAAGCATAAAAAAAAAAAAAAAAAAAAAAAAAAATAGGAAGTAAAGTTCGAGACGAATATCTTGAATGTACTCTTTGCAATCACTATCATGTCTATCAAAGTAGATATGGATGAAATGGTCCTAAAAATAAGATCGATATTCACAGTAAGAATGTTATGTTCAGTATTTTTGTCCTAATAATTATCTCTTCAAATTACAAAGCAAATGCAATTTGATCGGACGCAGTAGTAATATAGGTCCTATTGCCATTCATAATATGTATAAAAATATTCATACAGACCTTTGTAGTTCTTTGCTTTATTATATAGCTTTGAAATTCCTAAGTTTAGACTACGCATTAGATCATCACAAGGCAACAGATGTCATTAGAGCATGATTTATACCAAGAATTGAAATATTTCTTTAGGTAAGTGAGAGGAAGTGGAATACCGATACGAAACCAATCAGTGCCTGACATCGTATATTATTAAGTTACGTTCTGTGGGCATTTAATAACTTTTAGAAAATTACTAGATGGCAGCTGTTGGAAATTTCAGCATGGTAATGGATCACGACATGATTTTTGACTTGGTTTCGAAATGAAATAATTGGTGTTTCGGACTAATGGAATTGGTGTTTCGCATAAGGGATGAAGAAATCAAGAACTTAACACTATTCAAAATGTCTAGGGAGAATTTGCAAACTTTTAGTTTAGGAATAATGATCAATATTCTTCCATAAAGCTATTGCAAAACGTATTGATGCTGAAATAAGGTGGATTTTAAATGAGTTAAAATTTAGTTAATGATGCTACATGGAATTTGTTTATATATTAAATCAAATGAATGTACAATTAATTATTATTTATATCATGTATAAATATATAGAAAGTATAATATTTTATATGACCATTAATATTTGGTATATACATCAAACAAGTATAACATTTGATATATAGATATAACATCGCATATAACAAAAATGCAAATACATTTCTAAATTCTTTATAAGCAGGAGTGCTATGTCTGTATGTTTTTGAATTTCATTTTACCAGGTAGTGAAACTAATAATTTGTATTGATTAGATTTAACTTTAAACTCTTAATTCAAATCTTAAGAAGCTATTTATATCATTGCCGATTTTATCTTACTCTGATTTTATCTTTCTTGCTTATTTTTCTTATTAAAGGGGTTTGTAAAGAGGTATGCTAAGGTAAAGATGAAAATGTTTTCAGTATTTTTAAAGAATAAATTAAAAGAGTATTTTTACTTCATGAATTGAAATTTTCTACAATACTTTTTCTCACAGTAAATATGTACAAGAAAAGAAAGAGCTGAGGTATCTCTGGGATTAGAAACTCGGGTCGAACTACCAATGTTTAGTGATCTTTCCGCTTGATCGTAAGATCTTTTGAAATTAGGCTGAACAATATACTAAAGAAAATAGAAGATGCAGCACATGTAAGAACAAAAGTGGTCTGAATTCTAGGTTCACATGTTTTGTGAATAAGTTCATGAGTTAAACTTATCTGTATGCCATTATGAAATATTAGGAATGTAGCATAAAAGCATCAGCGAAAAAGACAATGACAATCTAAATCATTGTAATCTAAATGTGTAGCATTATCAATATCTGCTGTTAATTTCAGTGCTGCTGAAAAATTATAAATGAATTATATTATAAATCACATGAACTCGTTGCATTATAAATTACAACAGTTAGAAATATTATTATCGTGATTTAGAGACCATCTTTGTTTACAAATAATTTAAAATAATTAATATTACAAATAATTCAGCCTGAAACTAGATTGGAAAATAAGCTGCACGCTGAAGATTAATCTTTACCAACGTGTTAGAAACATCTTCTCTTAACTAGGGTTATGATGAAAGAATTTATAAAAATTATCATTTAAATATAAATTGGCATAAATACAATACAAAATATATAAATTCTACATACATGAAAACTTGAATACAATGCAACAATATGTGAAAAACGAATGGATTAAAAGGGAACTGAAAATCACAAGATATGAATATAGTTCGAATTTTTTCTGTTAATTATGAAAATTCTGTAGACGCTCATAATTATCAATTCATTAATTAAATGTGTATTAGAAATTAAATGTATGCCAAAGAACATCAGGTAGAATAACTGGAAAAGATAATAAATATTTAAACGTTTCTAATATTAAAATATGGTATGTGTAAGAATGTTAAATAACTTTAAAATAACTTCAATGATTAAAAATGGAAAGCTTCATATATGTTGAAATAATATTAGCGTGAATTTAGAACCACTTAAGAAATCAAATTTTTAGATTTAATAAAGAGAATTTTTCAAATTAAATTAGAACTGTTTACCTAAAATGGTATATTTGAAAGTTAAAAACCCCTATACTATCTAAGAAGATTTGTTAATATTTATATAGACAAGAAAACTTATTTAAGGTGCGCGACAAATCCGATATTTGATAGGTTGATTATGTACCAGTTTTATGTATACCATTAATCTATCAATTTTATTATTCAAAAGTGATAAATATATATATATATATATATATATGAGCAGCTAAAATCTGCAATTTGGAAAGTTTTTAATTCTCATAGGGAATAAAAAAGATCTGGCTCGTTATTCTTTTAAGCATCATAAAACTTTAAAAAGAGTGTAAAACAAATTCATTTTTACTTTAGCAGATGCCAGATTTTAAATTAATATTTGTTTTGTATGCACAAATTTTACAATATATGATACGCGAAAATAGAGGCTTGTAGTCTCAATAAAATATCCCATTAATGGCGTTAAATATTTTTTGATTTTTCTTAGCATCCATTTTCTTGGGAATTCAGGTTCTTTGAAAGAGCGGACTTGATAACGTCGCGCACCTAGTGAATTAGATAAGAACGGGGGTCTTTAATTAAATTTCGCGCAGTTCGTGTACTACCCTTTAGCGTCGATAGGTTGACGTTGATGGCAGTTTTTGCAAAGGGCAGCTTGCGTGAAAGCTGCTTTCAGCCAAACGTCAGAAAACTGTTTTCCAAGATACTACTTGTAGATCATCCGAAGCTCCCTGAACATTTCGCAAAATGTCCATAGTTAGTCCAATGTGGGGCGCCACCGCTTTTCTTTGTATTTTGTATGCGTCTATCTGTGCGTTCTGTAGTACGTCTAGATGGACTTTTGCGACTATTCATATTTCCTTTATCGATCCATTTAGACTCAATTCTGTGCACAGTGGACGCATCTACTTGCGTTTCAGAAGCGATACGACGGTAAGATCAACCAATTTTACATAAGCGTACAATTCGGCTGGTCGTAAAATCGTCCGTTTGCCTACCTTGTTCATCGTCCAGGCATCTCTTCATTCATACGTTTCTTCTGGACCGTTGAAGTTCTCAAAATTCTGGATTCCCTAAACAGCAGAAAGTAGAGACGGTTGGTTCGTCCCCCGTTTCCTTCCCTTTTATCCCGCGCCATAATCGCGTGACCAAATTGCATTTTATATCATCTGCATGACTTGTTCCGCTAAGGATTCATCGAAATTTGCATATTTATAAGGCCGAATATTCATATTGTTGCATTTTCTGTGTCGGGCAGTGTACATGTGAAGTATGGAACAAATTGTTAAATATTTATCAAAATAATCTGAGAAATCTACTTAATTTGCACTAAGAGATATTATATTTAAGCTAAAGATTAAAGGCCGTAACTTTTTGAATTGAAGCTTTTAAATACATACTTTATACACATGTTACCGAAAATAATCAGAACTTCATGTAGCTAAAAATTTCTTAAATGTATTATGTTGAGTAGTATATGTAGAATTTCTTAAATATATTATGTTTCTTAAATATACTATGTTGTGCGTAAACTTAAAGAACAGTTTAAGTTTCATCAGGTCCAAAATTTGAAATCTAAGTATCCGAATAACAAATAGCAATCAATGATTTAAAGCACCGATTATCTACAATTCATTTCATTTCAAGCGTTGTTAAAGCATTGCAAATAAAGTAACTCAACATCTTGGTTTTAAAGCATTAAGCATACTTTTATTGACCAATATATTAATTATATACCGTCAAAGCCGGTATATAATTAATTAAATAAATATATGTAATTTAAAATATTAAAATTTTTTATTATACATGATGCATAAAACTCAAAACGACCTGTCTTTATGGTACTTAATTTAACCAAGACTTGGTTTAGATCAGGTTAAACGGGGCAAGAAAGGAGGTATTGGTCCTAAGAATGGAAGGCGGGGCTTCGGTTTAGGAGGTCTACTTGGTCTAGTTGGCCTCGGCGTGCTTGGAACAGAAAATGTTGAAGTTTCAGGTGTTAGTCTTAATGCCGAGAGCACATGGAATCCAGTGTGATCCGCCATGTAGTCTATGATTCTCAAGGCACCTAAAGGATCTATGAAACCATAACGGCCTCGAACTATGCCATCAGCATCTCTTGTTTCTTCTCTAAAGGACTGACTGGGTCCAGTTCCAGTATCATATCCAAATTGGTAAACGTCTTTGTTTAGGAGCTGATATTGTACTCGTCCTCCGGCAGGTATGGGTACCATACGGCCATATCCTAATCTTGCCTCAGCAAACAGACATACCTACAGAAGAGGAATGCGCTATGAGTTTTTAAAATGGCATATAAATAAGTCAGTGGAGAATATCTTCATTCCAAGTTTTCTCTAAAGCTTGACTATATATCAGTAATTTCGAAATTTATTTATAAGAAACTCAAATAGATTAGATTAATTTCATTGAGGAAATAGCAATCTATTTAACAAAACATATGAAAATTTTATTTAATAAAATAATTTATAAAGAAATGCAAACAGTTAAAAATTTATTAACCGTTTAATGTATTATTAAATTGTTTTTTTTGCAAGTGAAATAGACTGATGCATGAATGCATAGAAAAGAAAACAAAAAAGTACTATTTGATCAAGGTAATCACAAGCAGCACCAATACACTACCGCCAAGGGGAACAAACAAAATGTTTATCTAGGTTTGAAAAATTCAGCATCTTTTCAGACCATGTTTTTCAACCGTTTGCTAATTTATTCATAGCTAAAATATGTTCCCAAATGAAAAGGATGTAAGGCCAAAGCATTTACATGTCTCTAGAAAAAGACCCCAAGAATGCATAGGATGTAACAGTTTCATATTTCTGATGGTGTCTATAGCATACAGTTTTCAATATGAAACAAAATTAGGCACCACCGTGAATAATAAACACCGGGTCTATCGGGTATTTCTGATACAAAGATTTTGATACATATTATACTAAGCTATGCTTCTATTGTCGCAGTTTGATTCCATGGAAGTAATTAAGAAAGAAGAATACATATTATGAGACTTGCGTTTTTTAGATGCAGAAATGGCGATCATGTCTTCGATTCAAGTTGGAAAGAAGTTTTGAATTATTAAATCAGAAACAAAGACGTGCAGAATTCTGTATTTACGTATATTTTGCGGAAAGCAATAGTTTCTACAGTACACTTCTTGTCAAAACTGAAGAATAATCTTAAACATATGCTCATCAATTAAAGTTTTCAGCTACTGCTCAATGGTGTGAATATTTATATGAATTATCTACAATTAACCGTAAAATTGGACTTCGGCACGTAGGTAAGCGCATGAAATATGTAAATTAGGCGACAGATAACGATCTACGTAATGGACGCAAGCTGGAATTTGGGTGCGCAATTAGTTAATCTGGTTTCGTAGAGAGACCAGTATTCATTAGTTATGACTCAAAGACATCCTTTAAGAGAAGAGCAAAGTGGCAAGAAAATTATAACGAAAAATACTAATGATGAAAAAAAGATGATAATGAAAAATGATAATGATGAAAAAAAAAAGATGGTGATGTGAAAAAAGATTATGACAAATTTATTTCTGCCAGACAAGTACAAAGGGTGATTACACAATTTTAAAATAATATCGGGGTCGTTTAATTAATGTTTTAAATGCTAAGTTCTTTTGAATTATCCATCTGACAGATTTGTTTCTAGACTATAAGTATGCATAGTGATTTCCATGACAAAAGGTCTTTCGTAAAATTTCTAGGGGTATCGATTTCCATTCCTTTTCCACTACATTCCAGAATCAGTCATGTTGTGTTCGCGTTTAGAAAGAACTGTTTTAATGACATAAAAGACATAACAGTCCATAGGCGAAACATCAGGGCAATTCGCAGGAATAAGTTTAAAAGGTCAATGTGCAACACCTCTATTAGTCTTCATTTTTTTAAGTAATACAGTGGTACTTTTCAAAGTATGATTTAGTTTAACTTTGAAAGTCATTGGGATAAAAAGATAGAATTTTTTCTGTATATATCGAACGCAAAACGTCCTCTTGATAGTATATTGAGTTGATTTAAAAATTTTTTTCCATTCTTTTTGCTTTAATAATTTGTATTTTAAGGGAAGCTCAAAATTTTTAATTTCGTATTATGAGAGAATCCTGGGACAATCATAAATACCTTACTGAAACTTTCTTTGCATTGACTGAACCAGGTTTTTTTGTCTTCGTTTTCGATGATAAATAGACCTTTTCTTGTTACAGTCATTTATGTAAATACATACTTCTTCCAGAACCACAATGTATTTCCATTTCATCTTCAGCTAAATATTTTCTCACGGGGTTATACAAATTCTTCTACGTTGAGCCACATGCTTGAGGAAAAGGCTGGTGATCATTGTGTTTCTAGTTTTTTTTTTTTAAGTTGTAGATCTTGGTTTTTTACTTTATTTATTGTTGCTACAAATGAATTTAAAGGCTTTTTCAATTTATTTATACATCGATGGGTTTTCTCTTGTTAACAACGGTTTAACTTTAGAGAAACATTAGCAACTGTATACACCTTTTTCGGGTATTTGTTTGGAGTCTATCTTCCATGTAGAAGTAATGACTAACTACGTTTCTCTTTCCGATTAATAATGCTGCTTATTTTGCACTTGCAAATTTTAGTACCATGTATTTTAGAGAGTTTTTGAATTATGGAATAGGAATATTTCTCTTCGGAAAGCGCAAAAACATATTCCTCACTTCACATCTTGCTTACATGAGATGTTTTGAAAGAATAACAAACTTATAAGTAGCAGACGATATTTCTCATTTTTAATAATAAGCTGTTGCCAGATTCCAAAACATTTGCCTTTTTTAAATTCTCTATCGATATCCCTCTAAAACTGTGTAAACACCTTCTGTATATTAAATAAATGAGCAGCATATGTAAGTTAATTCTCAGACGAGAAGTCAATATCCATTTCAGTAAATGGACATCCCCACTGAGGCCGCCATGTTTTCCAGTGCCACGGCCTTCTCCCGAACTCTCTCAGAACCTTCTTAATCTTAGAAGATACGTTTCAGAAGAATGGAGTTCATTTCCACAAAAATAGATCAACGGTTTAGTAAATTCTATGAAATCAAGATGTTAGGTTCGCATTTCTGTAAGAGGTGACTCAACACCACATTAAAAAATGATTTGTTGCCAAAGAGGGGGAGTTCCATTCTTTCATCACTTTTGAAAATCTCCATAAATTTGATTTTAAATTTCTATAAAAGTTTTACAAAAATAAAAGAAACCTACATGCTTATAAAAGGAAAGTGCTCTATAACTGCATTTGTAACACTGCAGTAGCTTTTGCCTGGAAAAAACCTTGTACACAGCATATTACATATAAATGAATAAAGAATTAAATATTTGTTGAGTGGCTAATAATTACCTTAAACAGGTTGAAATAAGAGTCATAAAAGAATTATTCAAAAAAATATAATTTGCATTAAATTTTTAATTTAGATATCTTAGATTTCATTTCTGAAATTTAGCTCATTTTATTAGTGCTCTTTTATAATTTGCCTTGCATAATCTCTTACCAAACTTCCACTTTATAGTAAACAGCATTTAGTTTCTTTTATATTATTCTATTCATATAAAGTATCACGTGAATATAGTATATAAATATAAAAAGTAACAAATTAACTCTATTTGCGATCTAACTTAAGATACAGAACAAAAGAATCGCGTATGAGTCTTAAAATGGAGGGTTTAACTACACTGGGAGTCTTAAAATACTGCACTTTCTCTCTGTTATTAACGCCTTCCTACTTGGCCCATATAGTCCTTTAGATTTTAAGCCATTTTACTTAATCTGTTTCCACATTATAAGCAAAAGCTCGACTCACTACTGATCCGTAATGCGATCATACTATTTTAATTTATATTAATGCTCGATTTTTTAATGTAGTATTAAGTGCTTGCAGAAACTAAGCTGCTATATTTTTAGTGACTTTTGTAAATTGACGAAAGCACAATGATTATTGTTTGATGCTTGTAGAAAAAATTCATCCATGCAGAGCAGCTTAGCAACTAGTTACTGCCGTGGCATTCGCACTTGGAATTTATGCAACTGTGCTGCTTATGACATAAAAACAGAGTCACTTAATTCACTAAGTAAAGGCACAATATAAATAACGGCTGTAATAATTGGTGTTAATATATTTGAATGAAAATATGACAATGATAATTACTCATTAGAAATTTTTACAATATTAATAAAAACAATTTGCATGACAAGATATTCAATACGTTTTTTTTTAAATCTTCTCTCAACTCTTGCGGGTTGAAGTCATCTACTAAACTCAGCAGATCGAGACTTTTCATCTGAAAACCGATAGTAAATGCATACGACATAATTACATAAAATGAATTTAATAACCGTTCCACCATGCGCCCTTGTTCAATATAGCTAGCTCATTGCTGTCTTTTGGTATTGAATATTGTATGCTTCACAGTCATACCACCGAAAGATCGCAATTACGACTGAAAGCAGAATTAAATGACATGAATGCAAAATCCGTGCACATATTATTAGATTTCAAATAATTTCGTTGCCACTAGTGTCGCGATGGGAAATCTTTCATAATTGCTTTCGACTGCTGTGTTGATGAGAAGCGAAAAGGACGAATAAACACGAATTTAACGATTCGTACTATTATTAGTCTCAATAGGACAGAACCGAAATGAAGGAATTTCAGAGAAATTTTGGACATATTGCATAAGACAACGTGTTCAGGTTTGTCATAATTTGAGAACTTGGGAACTGACATCGTCGCCAACACTCATAAGCGACATAAATGACTACCTTTTTTTCGTACTTTTTCTTTTGTCTTAATCTCTAAAAGGTAGGCTAGAAATGGGACGATTAAAGTTATGCAGTTATTTAGGGTCACATCACTTTTATTGGATAATTTTGAAAACTGATACAAGGTAAGCCGTTTTATGAAGTACTAAACTGTTATAATAGAGTTTTGATCGGTATTAGCACAGAAAGGTTCAACAATGCTAAAAAATCTCTCTTCCTTGAATAAGAAAGTGAGAATTAGTCCAAATATTGCATCAATTTTCTCAAAGTGTTGAAATATGAAGTAGACATAGAATTGAATCTTGAATTTATAAAGTATTTTCTTCTTTCATCTCGCGTACATTAATGGCGTCATTGAAGAGTACATCTGGCTAGCAATCGGGAGGTCCAGTGTCGAACCCGGCGAAGGCAGAGCAGATTTTTTACATGTCCTGAGCCGATTAACTTAATGGCT